TCATAACTAAATACAATTACAATTATAATCACAACAATTTACGGTAACCTCAAACGCAAGCTAAATCCTAAAACCGACACTCCAATGTGCTCCCCTTACCCTCTTCACACAACAAAAATGTCTTCTTCTTCTTCTTCTCCTTCCTCTTCTTCATCCTCTATTCCTCTGCACAAACATCCTTCAGACCCAAAGCCCTATTCCTTCCTGTCTCCAAGGACCCTTCAACTCTCCAATACATCACCCGCATCAAGCAAAGAACTCCTCTCGTCCCCGTTAAACTAACCCTTGATCTCGGCGGTGAGTTTCTCTGGGTGGACTGTGAACAAGGCTATGTCTCCTCTTCCTACAAGCCTGCCCCCTGTAACTCTGCTCCTTGCTCCCTCGCAAAGTCCAAATCTTGCGGCGACTGCTTCTCCAGTCCTAAACCCGGCTGCAACAATCAAACCTGCAGCCTCCTCGCAGCCAACACCGTCACACAGAGCGGTACAATATTGGGGAGCCTGCTCAAGATGTTGTAGCGGTGCAGTCTACAAATGGAAAGACACCCGGTAGGGTTGTATCGGTGAAAAAGTTTCTGTTTGCTTGTGGGGCTACTATTCTCCTGGAGGGACTTGGCGGCAGTGTGAAGGGAATTGCTGGTTTGGGAAGAACCAGAGTTTCTCTTCGGTCGCAATTCGCCGAAGCCTTTAGCTTCCATAGGAAATTCGCAATCTGTTTGATTTCTTCCACCGGTGTTGTATTTTTCGGAGATGGACCTTATGTTATGCTTCCAGGAATTGACGTTTCCAAACACTTAATCTACACTCCGCTCATTCTGAATCCAGTAAGCACGGCGCCGGCTCCCTTGGAAGGCCAGCCCTCTACCGAATACTTGATCGGATTGAAGGCTATCAAGATCAACGACAAAGTTGTGTCTTTGAACAAAGCCTTACTCTCCATTACTAGAGAAGGCCGCGGCGGCACCAAGATTAGCACCGTCACTCCCTACACAGTGGTGGAAACTTCCATCTACAACGCCTTGGTGAAAACTTTCCTCAAGGAAATGCTCCCTCTCCCTAGAGTTCCATCCGTCGCGCCATTTGGGGTCTGCTTCAACGCCACCGGCATCCCTAGCACCCGCATGGGACCACCAGTGCCGACGATCGATCTTGTGCTGCAGAGCAACAGCGTGTTCTGGAGAATTTTCGGTGCAAACTCGATGGTTTGGGTTCGGGGCGACGTAATTTGTTTAGGATTTGTTGACGGCAGTTCTGAGGTGACCACATCAATTGTGATCGGAGGGCATCAACTGGAGGACAACCTTCTGCAATTTGATCTGGCGGCGTCGAGGCTTGGATTCAGTTCTTCTCTGCTTTTCCGACGAACGACATGTGCTAACTTCATTTTCACTTCTTCTGCTTAAGTAGGAAAGCAAATATTATCAAGTTTGAGCAGAAGAGTTTAATTTCCTAATTTCCCACGCAACTCAACTTAAAATTAATCAAATTGTAATATAATTTTTAAATATGAGAAGGTTACTAAAAAGAGAAAACACAAATCTTTCCAAAAATATTACACTAATTTTGTGTTTGATTTTTGTTTAACTAATTAATTCCGAAAATTAAAGAGATTAACCTCACATGCTGCATTGATTAATTTGTTTTCTGCTATTGGTTTCCACCCATTTAATTATTAAACTTCAAGTTGAAATAGGATATGTTTAATTTAAGTAATTTTTTTG